AAAAAAGGTTGAGGATGGCGGAATGCTTTAAGAGAGCAAGTCGGTGGAAGTGGGAAGAAAAACAAGAATCGCTATACCGAATCAATGGTGGGATGATTGGAAACACGACAAGCAGTAAGTAAAATAACAAGAGGCGGCATGCAGATCGTTAGACGGAAACCGGCACAAGAGTGGATAGGGTGAAGCAGAACAGAGTGAAACTGTCATGGAATATATATGCACTTCACGTTGCGAAACAGATGAGTTCTGCAGGGTCTTGTTCGATGGTCTCAGGGGCTCCGATCACCAGTGGATTGATTTGGGTTATTTACGTTATTTAGGCGTTGGTAGCTTTGATGTGGGACGGACTAGATGCTAGGCACCTAACCTCAAAACACCTTGTAGGTGAGGCAGGAGGTGCGTTCCTCTACCTGGTCCGGAATGCGGACGCATGCAGTCAAAGCGCTGGATACAGCCGCGCCCAACAACCATTGCCCGTGCCAAATTTTCCATTGCGGGTGTAGACCCTAAGTCTTCATCAGTCTCAAACCAACCGGATCTGTAATAGAAAGGCGTAAATCAGCGGTGTGGGTTGCAGCCCAGCTCAGAAGGGATAAGGGAAGGAAATAGCAGGAAGCAAACGACCAATTCTAGTCAAGCAGTGTGCTTAGGTCATAATACTGGTGAAAGGATGTTGTTGGAATGTCTAGTTCTACAGAAACGAAATGAAGGGAGAGACCCGTATTGATAGGACATCAGTTGATGGAGTACACACACCGACCTGGTTAGCATGTGCCACGGAGTTGAGCCAATTGAGTCGGATGAAAACGGAATCACGCATATATATATATATATATATAAGGTAAGAAGAGATGGGTTACAATACTTATAAAAGTATGTACCAAATTAGGTCGTGTTCCACAGATCCAGCTTCGAAGCTGAATCTGTGTACTGATATGAAATTGGTTGCGAAAGTGGACACTGCTACCTGGTTAGCTTTTGCCACGGGGTTGAGCCAATTGAGTCGGATTAAAACGGAATCAGATATATATATAAATTAAGGAAAGATGGGTCACAGTACTTATAAAAGTATGTACCAAATTAGGTCGTGTTCCACAGATCCAGCTTCGAAGCTGAATCTGTGTACTGATATGAAATTGGTTGCAAAAATGGACACTGCCACCTGGCTTTGGAGCACGTCCAGAGACGATTCACTAGGCTTTTTCCTGCCCTAAGAGGGTTGTCGTACCCGAGGCGCCTGAGAGAGCTAAACTTGTTCTCCCTTCAACATAGGCGTATGAGAGGTGATCTAATAGAGATTTTCAAGATACTGAAGGGGCTCTCACAGTCTAGCAGGCAAATCTTCTTCCTCAGTGAAAACCCAGCCCTAAGAGGACACCAGCTAAATCTGGTCAAACCCCTGCAGTAAAGAGAGAAAGGGCAAACTACTTCTCTCATAGAGTGGTCAATGTCTGGAATAGACTCCCGGACGAGGTTGTCTCGGCGTCCACACTGGCGCTGTTCAAAAGAAAGCATGATGAGGTGTGGGACATAACCTTCCTTGAATCAGCCTAAGGAAGGAAGCTACAGTTCTTGGTGGTAGCTATGTCTTTAGTTTTCCCGAACACCACTCTCCTTCCATCTTTACTCTTAAGTGTATCATCCCATTTTACTTCAACTACCTTCAGTTCATCTCCAGCTCCCTATAACCCCCTCCCCATACTAGCTAACTTTCTTATTTACTACTACTACTGCTTACTTACTCACGTACTTTTCCTTTCCCATCCTAGTCTATCTTTGCATGCCTGCGGGTCATCTACTGTTTGCTGGAGTAGTACTCGGACCTCCTGATTAGCCTGTGACTGATCAGCTGGTGCTGCTTCCATCGACAGCAAACCGGATTGGCTTCCCTGCTCCGCGGCCGTACCCGTGTACCACCAAGGACCGATTTAGCAAACCGTCGAAGCGTTACGAGACACACGTGGCACGTAGACGCAAGAACCTGGACTATTATACTGGCTCAAGCCGCAAGTTCTGTGAACTCTCCTGTCCTCCTGTCCACCTGGCCTGACTTGGTTTGCCTAGCTATATATTTGCGGACGACGTCAAGGTTGTAGGATCAAATGGGAAAGCGGAACTGAAGAGGGATACAGGTGAAGTGCTAAAGTGGTCAAATACATGGGATTTGCCTCTCAACGTAGGGAGGACTCATGTTTTGACCACTGGAGACGAAGAGCTGATAGTGGGGGGTAGTCATAGCGGTCTGTCTCTAGGAACGACTCAGAAAGCTAGGGATTTAGGAATCATAGTGACTGCAGACTACAATTTGGCGGATCAGTGTGCCGCAGCGGCGCTCGTGCCCGCAGAGAGCTGTTTAGATTGAGGTCGGCACTATCATGTAGGCAACCAGAGGTATTTGTACCCTTGTATAAAGACGTTGTTTGACCGCGTTTAGAGTATTGTATACAAGCCTGGGCTCCCTTCTTCAAAAAGGACGCCGATTGTCTCGAAAGGGTCCAAAGATTAGCCACGTGGATGATCGAAGGACAACGAGGGAAGTCGTATAAGCCGACTGCAGGATCTTGGGCTATTCTCCTTAGAAAGAAGGAGACCCCGAGGTGAATTGCTTGAGACATTCAAAATTATGAATGGCCTATCAGGCACGGACCAAGCGGTGTTCTTCGAGAGAATGCAAAGCAATACTAGGGGACATATGTACAAGCTGAAGAAATTGCGCACGAGACTAGTGGTGCGTTCGAAATTTTTCAGCAACAGGGTATTCAACGCGTGGAATAAGTTGTCACAGGAGCTGGTAGAGCTAGGGAGCGTATATGCTTTCAAGCAGGAGCTCGATAAGCGCTGGTTGACTTTATTTTCCGAAGTAGAAGCGTAGGTTGAGGCCTGGAAACAGGGGTGGGGTTTTCGTTCGCTAACCACCCCCATCCGGGGAACGCTTCCCAACGTGAGGTCTCTCGCCTGAATAAGGGGAGAAGATATATTTTTTTCTTTTACCTTCTCTTTCCTTGCAGAGACGGAGACAACTGAGACGTAAAGAAAACGCGTAGAACTGCAATATAGAATACTCGCAGTGGTAGGGGCCGGAACGTGGCTTACTACCGGAGGAAATCTGGACGCTCGATTGGCCGTGGCCATCTCCTGTCCTTTGAAAACTGACTGACCGACTGATAACTGACATGGGGACTCCTCGGATCAAATAAGTCACAAAACCAAGGAAGGTGCCGAAAATTCCGGGAAATAGCAACTGGGAAAAAGGTTTTAAAAGTTTGGCAAAGGAAAACGCACAAGGTGAGCCTACATCGTACTGTGTATCTTGGCGGGATTCAATTGGCCTAAAGCGCAATACCAGCAGTGTTTCAATTCTACTGTATGCAATATTGTATATCCGAGATTTCTAGCGCACAGTAACGGAGGCTTTATCTTAATAGCATCCGCAGTTTTACCCTTACTTTCTATCTGCTCACGTTTGATCTCTGTTTATAAAATTTCCAAACTCGTTTAAATGATTGATATGGAGCTTAACCATAATGGCATGGGCACCAGCACCAGGTCATCCACAGGGAAATGCATGACAGCCACGTTAGTCCAGGAGTATCCGTGTAGGAAGGATAGCTGCACTGCTGAGGTTTTTGACGAAGGCATAGGCTGTGACACCTGCAGCACCTGGTTCCACCCGAAATACAGTGGGATGACGAGTGGCAGCTTCCTACTATACGGGCAACACAAACGCCTGAAGTGGGTGTGCCCAGCCTGCACAACTTTACTGAGGGACCTTAAAAAAAGAAAGGCAGGCGTCCAGACCTAAACTAAAGCCCAGAAGGAGGGAGTGCATGGCTCCTGTTCCACATTCGGTCGAAATCGAGGAAAGGACAGTGCCTGAAAAAGTATGCACAAAGGCAAAAAGACAAAAAAAGAAGAGCGGAAACAAAGAGGGCACCTGCTAACATGACATCTAAGAGTCAGATCACAGCCGACGTTGAGAACCTAGCTAGGCAGATGGATGGGCAGGAGGAAAACCTGAATCGTCTCAGGAAGGAAAAAAACATCTCGACGGAGGTTGTTGAGAAGCTGCGAAAGAACACAAATGTAGCCATTGGTAGACATCGCAACGTTCTCATCCAAGGTGTACCAGAACCGTTCATGAGGCAAGGTAGACTGAGGGAACGATACATGCGGGAGCACTTGGCCACGTTGTTAAGAGCGGTAGCGCTCCCCGACCATGTACTGCTCAAAAGAGTACTTAGACTTGGGCAGTGGAGGGACCATAATGCGATAGGAGCAGCAGAACCTAGGCCCATCAAAGTAGAATTCGGAAACCCCAGTCATAGGGGCAGGCTCTTAGCTGAAGCCGAAAAGATCCGGACAACCTCGGGTGGTAATGTCTGAGTGACACCCGATGATCGGCCTAGCAGGAGGTTGAAATCGGAAACCAATGCGTGAGTGGCGCAAGCGCATCAAGAAAGGGTCGTTGTGCCCAAACCGGCCGGTGAAATCATGGATCCAGGGACCCTCCAACTCAACACGAAGGCTCAGGAAACTATAAGCCCTGAAGGACCAAAACCGTCATATAGGGAGGTTCTTCTGAGATCGCTCAAGGATAAAGGACCCAGTAGACCAAAACAGGCCCGAAAACCTGATTCTTTTGGGGGAACGAACGAAAAGGCAACAATAAACGAAAAACAGGCCCAAAAACGATGAAGCCCTCGTGCAACACGTAAGAGAGGATACGCGATGGCGAGATGGCAGCAGGCCCACCAGGTTGGACCTGGTAATAACGAAGGGGGCGAACGATATAGAAAGTATTCAGGTAATGGCCCCACTGGGTAAACGTGACCATGCCCTACTTTATCTTACCATGTCCATCCGAGGGTCAACCGCCCCCGACAAAAGAAGGCGAAATTATGGGGTAATGAACATAGCGCAGCTTCTACAAGATGCAAATACCATGTCATGGGAGTTGGACCCCAGTGAGTCATTAGACGAGAGTTGGAATCCAGTTAAGTCCAACGTACTGCGCCTCACGCAAACTCATGCTCCGCTGAGGAACATTAGGAGAAACGGCAAGCCACCGTGGTGGAAGGCACGAGTGCAGAAGTCTCATGCTCATAAACAACGAGCGTGGGGAAGACTAATAGCCTCGGGCAGCCACCGCCGGTTCCTAGGATACAACCGAATGTGAAGGAGAGCAATAGCGGTCCAGCGGGCATGCAGGCTAGCATATGAAAGAAAGCTGGCGCGGAATGCGAAACTCAACCCCAAAGCCTACTTTAGTTATGTCCAATCCCAGGCCACAATTAGAGGGGCGGTCGGGAACGTCCGAAGCGAGGACGGAGTTAACGCGGAATCAAATGCTGAAAACGCGGATATTTTCCGCCGCTACTTCGAAATGGTTCACCAACCGGATGGAGAGGGAAACCCGCCACCCCCCCTAGAACGGGAAATGCCTGCAATGGCCGAAGTCATCATCATCGAAGATGAGGTAAAGGCCCAACTGCAGGCGCTGAAGAACACCAAGGCAGCGGGACCCGATGATATTCACCCGGTCATCCTGGAACCGCTGACTGAGGTGCTTGCTTCACCACTAGCAAAGCTGTTTAACAGATCCCTCCAAGATGGGAGGCTGCCTGGAGACTAGAAGATGACAAATGTGGTCCCCATACCCAAAGGTGGGGATAGAAACCAGGCTGTAAATTATAGGCCGTAGAGTCTAACCTCGGTACCACTAAAAGTAATGGAAAGGATACTGAGGGACA